ATTTTTCTAGGTTTTGTCTCATTCTAGGTTCCTGAGAGTTTGCAAGAGAAGGTTCAGATACTGGAAAATTCTTCCAACACTTTAGAATTTAATGCAATATTTTAGCCAATAAACTCTGTTTTAGAATTTCATAACAATTTTAAACTATTTCTGTACCATGGGCTGTGAAATTTTGTATTCTGAAACTGCAGCTGATAATCAGTTTATAACTGAATACACTGAAGAGATGAGGGTGGGAGGAAAAAAAAAAACCAAAAAAGTTTTGAATATGTGAGACCTCCACCTGGACTACTGGATCCATTTCTGAGGTTTCTAATACAACAAGAACAAAGATCTGTTAGAGCAGGCCTGGAGGAAGTTAATGACTACGATCCGAGGGCTGGAACGCCTCTGCTGTGCAAAAAGGCTGAGAGAATTTGGGCTGTTCAACCTGAAGGAAGGAAGGCTTCTGGAAAACCTTATAGTGGCTTTTGAATGCATAAAATATAGAAGATGTAGAGTGGCTTTTTATGAAGGTCTGTAGTGACAAGAGAAGAGCTGAAACTGAAAGAGACTAAATTAAGATTGGGCATAAAGCAGACATTTCTTATGATGCGTGCAGTGAGTCACTGGAACAGGCAGCCCAGAGAACTTGTGAATGCAACACCCCTGGAAGTGTTCAAGGTCAGGTTGAACAGGACTTTGACTAACCTTATCTAGTTGAATACGTCCCTCCTCATTGCAGTAAGGAAGGACTAGATGATCTCTGGAGGTCCCTTCCACCACAAACTATTCTATGATGCTAGTGGCAGGTGTCCCTACCTATAACTGGACGTTGGACTAGATGATTTGTAAAGGTCCTTCTGACTTCCACCTTTCTATAATTCTATTATTTACTAATACTGCAAAAAAAAAATTGGATTTAAATGTGAAACTAGTATAGCACAGTCAGTTTCACATATCAGTTATTTTTCACTTCTAGTTTTGTCATAGATCTAATCCAAAAAAAACATATCAAATATTTTCTTCTTATTTTCTGCCATTAAACATGTCTAAGTTCTCTGAATTAAATCGGTTTAAATAAGATTCAAAACCCCTCTGATTTCTTCAATTAAATAATGAAATATAAGCAGTAAACCCCTCTGATTTCTTCAATTAAATAATGAAATATAAGCAGTACAGGAAAGAACTTCCACCAGTATTTACTGAGAATTAAAACTGATAACATGGTTAACCTTTATCACAGTATTTGTTTACATAGTCTGCAATAACAAAAGAGATTTCTGTTTTTCACTTGATCACTGCTCTTAAAGTGAATCAAACTGAAGTTGTGAAACACAATATTCCTAAGCAGTAAGTTTTTCAGAAAACATATTTGACTTCAGTGAGAGCTAAACTTTTACAAGGATGAGATGGTGTTCCCTCAAAAACTATGCATTATGTATTGAAATTATGTGGAGTCCATCTGGCCTTATTATACAGATGGATGTATTACATAATCAAGTTATATCTGAGGTGTCATCAAGCCACTAGAAATTTTGCAAATTAAAAGAAAAAAATAAGAGAATTAACCCATCATCTTGAAGAGACAATGTTGCAAGATTTCACTGTAGAAATTCACACTCCCGTCAGAAATCACATAAAAAATATTTTCAAAACAAACTGGTTTTGTTAAAAGTCATCTGAATGTGAAATTTATTTTTCATATTAAGTGCCACCAAGAAAGTCTACTTCTTCCAGATTATTTTCTTTCTAATACCTTATGCTTAATTTGGTTTTAATTTTTTTTTACTTCTACTGAGGTGGTAATTCAGTTTCATACATGATTTTACAGATTTTTAAATAGCCTTCTGAAAAAATCAAAATATATATTAAAACAACTTCAGTTTAGAGCAATGAATTGACATGTATTACCTGAGCAGTGAGGAAGAGATCCACTCCAGTGTCCATTTAACTGACACGTGCGAGATGACTGCCCTAACAGTGAGCGTCTACCTGTGCAGGTATAATGGACAGTAGAACCAAAGGTGTATTTATCTCCAGACAGGACCGCGTTAGGAGGAACTCCAGGATGTCCACAGTCAATCACTACAATGCATAATTATTGGAGATAAAAGAAGGTTATTATTACTGATCTAACAATTTTTAGTTTTCATTTTCATAACTGTGCACATGAACTTTGTGAAGGGGTTAACAAATTTAGGGTTTGGGGGAAGGGGGAAGATCATGGGATTAGAATGCAAAATATGCTTCAGGCCAAAAGCTGTGAAAGAAATGTTTGGAGATGTCAAAAAAAGATATTTTAGATACATATATTGATATTCAAAACCACTCATTCACTAAGTTGGTCTTTATGGAAAAACAATTACAGGAACCCAGTATCTGCCAAAGTCACTGCTGTGGCAGAGAATATGCACAAATTCATCTCTCTTTTAGTAGTTCAGACCAAGGAGTTAATTTAAAAGCAAGCTAAATACATCAAGTTTGGGAAATGCACTGTTGAAATTCATAAATTAAATCCACTATGTACACAAACTGAATCTAGGCCTGATGTTTGATTTCTTTTTGTCTTACATCTGTCCATGGTACGTAGATTATCTTAGCCAGAGATATTTGTATTTATGTACCAAGAAACCCACAAATTAGAGCTGTAAATATCAGTGTAATAGAACTAGCTGCTAAGTCATTCAACTTCAGTTTTTATCAAAACTTCATTGTATTAAATACTATTTTCAGTAGGATTTTTTTATTAAAGAAAAATCCAGATCAGAAGCATGATCACGGTTGAGGATGCATTCGATTCCATGGCATTTCAGATACATGCAACAGTACAATGATTGTCTAACACAGCATAAGACCAAAATCATATGTGACAATCTGTCTTTCTTAAATGATTATTTTGGTCTTAGAGCTTTAATTTATGTATATACTGATTTGTATTTAATGACACATTCTTCCAAAGGTCCAATTTTCATGGTACAGAACCTTCCTGACAGGACCATAAAGGATTTAAGAATGTGGTAAGCTACTGACCAACTTTAATTCATACCTAGTGTCATTGATCCCTGTGATCATTCTGCAGGCTTTGAGGGCTTTGAGTAAAACAGCCAGAACAGGCAACTTTGCATAACAAGCACTTGTTGTCAGCATGTTATTTTTTTAATCAATTTCTTCTAACTCAAATCTGCTATCACTTATGGATGATTGTTAAGAATGAAAACTTAGAACATTGTTAATAAAAAGGCACGTTGGTCATGCAGGCTTCAACAAAATGAGACATTTTTCTTGTGAAGAGCATTCACAGTTTTTCAGAATACTTTAATATCTGTAGTGTTCTTGATTGATTCTTTTACCCAATTCAGATGTCATACAGGACACAGTTAATTTCATACTGGTACGTTACAGTTTCTACCTTTGGGCTTTCCTATACACATTTTTCTGTTTATATTTATGTCTAGAAGTCCTGGATCCCTAATAACTTAATTTAATAATTATAGCACCCTTAATATTATCCATAATTTGATTATGCATTCTACAAAATTTAATTTGATATTAATGTTTTCGGGCTGGGATTTCATATGAAAAGTTGATTGCATTTCTTTTTTTTCCCTAACTAACTAGTTTTTTCCTTTCTATTTTGTCATTTTCATTGAACAAAAAATCTTCTCTAATTGAAATGAACTCTTTTTAGTTTAAACCATTACTCCTGTTAAGTGCAATCAATACATGCCATTGTAAAAAGTCTCATTCCAGCAATAATTTGCAAAACGCTCCAGAAGCTCTAAGAAAAGTCTCTTAAAAAGTTTTGGTAAGCTTATGATTAAAAAATATCATGGATACCATAGAATTCATTGACCCCTCTATAAAAACAACACAAATGAAGCAGAGGATGCCCTTTCAAAACTACATATATCCCTTTTACTCCCAAAGCTCTTTTAAAAGAAGAGTAAAGGCTGTGTTATTAAATTACTTGTGACAATTCAGATAAAAATTATTAAGAGATTAAAATACAAATGTAGAAAGAAGAAATCTTTGCAACTTTACCTTTAAATTCATTTATCTTTGGAGATATTTTACTATTAAGCAATATTTCTCTTTTTGAAATGGTAATGTTGCTTTTAAATCTAATGTGAAACTAATAGACATTCTGTGACTTGCAGTCAAGCTACTTCTGCATCAAAGAAAGGGACAAGTTCCATAACTGAAATTTTTGGCAATAATAAGAAAAAAAGTTTATTTTTTTCCTATTTTATAGAGGTAATAGTAGAGCTAGTAAAGCCTTCTGAGAACCAATAGCTACAATACTGCAAATATCAGTCCATGATTCCTGAATAAGGAACCTTTAGCCTGTTTTCCCTTTAATCCCTAGAAAAGAAGCCCTTCTCAGTGAAAAATATTGATTCTAAATGAAACCCTTTCCACAGACTAATAGAGAACCAGGTAAATCAATTGTCCCAGCCAGTTAAAAGTCTAAGAAACATCTCTGGATATATCTGCATCACAGTTAGAAAGTTGTTCATGACAAACCAGAATAAAAAATAACCTAGTTGTGTTGATCCAGTTGCCTTAGTGAATAGGTTGCATAGGAGTATGACGTTCAGGTACATCTATTCATGTGGTAAACTGAGGACATTGTCCAGAGGACATTTTTGGTGTTCTACAGTGCTATTACTAGTGATTTCAATGGGCAGATTTTGACCTCTATCCCTGCATCCCTGCTACCAGGGATTATTACGCTGGAGCACTCAGAGATGTTTGTTTGGCTAATGCATTTCCTAAGTATTCTATGTTATTTGCTAAATACAAGAACGATCTAACTGCTACTTCAGCAGCTGCCGAGACCCTCCATCAGTGTTGCACACACACAAATGTATATAAATTATTGTAATTGTTGTCATGAGGCTGGTGAAAGTGCTGTGTAAAGTAATACCTTGTCTAGTCCACATTCTTTCTAGAAGCAAACTCATTATCTACTTACTAATGCATTCAGGTAGAGGTTTGTCCCACTGGCCATTTGGTTGACAAATTAAAACTGAAGAGCCAAATAAAAAATATCCAGGATTGCAGTCATAAAATACCACTGTGCCATAGGTGAAATTTCCATGTTCGATTTTACTTTCTCTTATAGAATTTGCAGGAATTCCAGGATCAGAACAATTGACCACTAAAAAAAAAAAGAACACAGAGTTGAGAGGCATACTAATACAGTCTCCTAAAATGGTGTCCTACTCTTTGTATAAAAAATGTCCAATATGTTGCTATCCTGGTTTTATGTACCCTTTATACTTTTTATATAACAGTAGTGAATTAGGAAGAACTGAAATGACAAGACACTAAAGCCAGAAGATGTTAAACCCAGAGCAAATAAAAGGAAATGCTTCTTTACAGTGTGATGATACCATAAAATTATTGGCCACTAAAAGGTACTGAACATACCAATGAAATGAGTTTATATTCCTGCCTTGACATACACTATTGTCCACAAATAGAAACGTATTTTGGGGCTGGATGTGACTTTGGTCTAAAACACACGGAAATGCAAACATACTTATGCTCCTATACCAGCATTTCAATAATGGATCGCCTTTAAGATGGATGTTTTGAGCTAAAAGGCACAAGGTCAGTTAGGTAAGACAGTGGTGAATCTGGCAAAATAAGAACATATCCAAACAAATGGGTAGGAGCTTTCAAAAATAAAGGTTAACTTTCATGTTTAAGAATACCGATGAATTTTTTGAGTAGTTAGCACTTCAAAATTTATATTTTTGAAAATTTCTGATATGGATTTTTTCTTCCCTTTTTTGTGTCTTACAGCTGTCTGTAAGTTCAGTATAATATTTATTTTGGGGGTCATGAAGATTATTTTCACAGTTTTCATGTGGTTTCCTCTGGACAAGGAAACATTATCACTTATTCCAAGTAACTCTAGAGAACCAAAGTTCCAATAAAAATTACTATCCCTAATTTCAGAGGTAAATGTGCGTGGATGTCTGCATATGAAATTATCAAAATATGTTGAAGAGCTCTGTAATCTGCAAAGGAAAAATGGTATTACCAGATGCAATTCAAGATCATTTTTCCTACCTAAATCACTTAATATAGATATTTTATGGCTCTTGTCATCTCTAGCCACTATTCCAAATGCTGTTGTCTGCTTGTGTGCTTCTTCTAGCAGGTTTCAAATATTGGTACCACAAGCCTAGAAAACATACCTTTTCCAAGGCAGAAATAGCTTTCTGCAATTTTCTGTATTTGACTTCTTTAACAGTAAAGGACTGAACGATTTGTTTAGCTACATTGATGGTCAATATTGATTTTTTTTTCCCTTGAAGGAAAGCCTGAGCTACATTTCTATATTTTTTCTTATTTTCTCCCCCACAAGGATCATTGAAGTCCAGCTCCTGACCCTGCACAGACAGCCCTAACAGCCACCATGTTCCTGAGAATGTTATCCATGTTCATGTTACTAAGCATAAATTTAAAGTAATGATAAGAATTTATTCATTATTCAGGACTAGTGAGCACATGAAATAAAATACAAGGAGCTTTGACTATTTGAATAGTTTTCCACAATTATTATGTTTTTTTAAGAAACTAGATATTTAACAGTGTTGTAACTAGTATAACAACAGCAAGTGCACTGCTGAATTTCTATGAAAAATTTCTGGGACAAAAGCAAAGTCTTCACAACAGTGTACAGCCTTTTCTATAATATTGCACTTTTGGTAGTTTACACATATGCAAGGTAATAGTATTATTATTGTTGTTGTTGTTGTTATTTTCCTTCAAAGTAAATAAAATCATATTCATTAGAATGGATTTCACTGAACATTGCAGACAAGATTAATGATGCTCAACACAAGATTAATTATTTTGTGTTTTAAACTCTCTCCTAAAAACAACACACAATTTCTGGACTGTGTAAAATTTCATAGGGTAACCTGATCAACATGATCAACTTATTTACCTTATTTATTATATTACTTTATTTACCCTACATGCCAATAAGTTGTCAGCACTTTGGGACATTACTCTGAAATATGAGAACACCAAGGTGGCTGATAGCAACTGGATTGAAAATGAGATTAAGTAGGTACCCTACATACAGTACATGTTTAGGACTCTAAATTTAGAAAATAATATCTTCTCATTAACAAAGAGTTCCTTAGAAGTTTAAGTTCTGTAAACTATTTGGCAGTATCTTTTAGGGGAAAGTGATCAAATGAGACTGAAATCTGAATCACAGAATCACGAAACGTCTTTAATAATAAGATTATTGTGTTAGTTAATCAGTCTCTCTGTTGATGGGACAGGAATCACTTTGTGTTCTTTTCTATTACATGAAAATGTCACAACATCATTGAAGTTGAAACCATTTCCACTTGTTCTTCCATAAATAGGACTACCAGGGTGACCACAGCTGACAGCTAGCATAGTACCAGTCAAAAAAATCCCAAAAAACAGAACAAGATGTTATCACTTATCATTATTTATTATGTAATAGATAATAATTATATAATAGCACTTTTAAGTTATGATATTATAAGATACTGCATACTTTCCATGATGTATTAATGTTTAAGAATGTACTTAAATTTTTAAGTAAACTGAATAGAATTTGACATGCAGTAATGAAAGCAAATGAAGAAAACTCTTCTGAAGAAGCAGGAGAAAAGCAAGCACTAGATTTTCATTACATATAGTCTGAAATTGAAAGGAAATATATCACTACCTTAGTTCTTCAATTACTATTTCTTACAAATTTGTCTTTGTATCAACTCAATATTTTATCTTTGTGGCCTAAACACTTTGTGAAGCTATAAATTTATAACTATTTTTAAAACAAAAATCCCAGAACTATTGGTATAGTGAAATTTTTCTTATGCTTATACAAAAACTGTCCACAGAAGGAAAAGTTTATTTTCTGTGCCCACAAAAAACAGATTTGAAAAAAATAAGGAAGGAAAATTTGACACAAATTAATATTCACAAAATGATCCAAAGACATTTTGTAAACATTTTCTTTTATTTTGTAACAAACCATTGGTATAAAAAAAAAGTTAGTCAAGAATTAAAAATTAAGACATCACAGAATAAATTAACATTGTGTGCTATGACTTGGCATTAAGAGAATTTCTGCTACTAAGATAGAGGATAGGATATTTGGAGGCCGATTAATAGAGTTTCAATACACTAATATTACTGAACCTGAAAAATAGTGATAATTTGCTTTAAAGTGCTTAGAAAATTCTCAAATTCTCCTAAATTAAATACATAATTTTCTGTTATTACTTAAAGGTCTTTCATGTTATGGCTTGATACAATTATCATGCAAAAGAAACCTCATTAACAAAGCACAATGTTCACTCAAAAGAACTCCAAAACCAAAAATCAAAGCAAGAGCAACTCTTTCTCATAGAGATGAAGAAAAGAAAAATAGAATGAAGATGATGAAAAGGTGAAACGAAAGAAGAGATGAAGAAGAAAAGAAAATATAATTTGTGAAAAAAAAAAATTTAATCTACGGCATTGATAGTTTACTTCAATAGTATTTACTCATCTAACTAAAACACTGAAAGTAAATATATATTAAATATTTCCAAAAGACACTACAGGTCATAAAGCCATTTTCAAATTTGAGAATTGGTGTTCATAAGTCCTATCACTTTCTGAAAAATTTTCATATTCATAACAGCAGGTTATGATGCCAATACTGAGTAGTAACTTCACCTGCTAGATGAATCATATATTTTATGTGGCCCCATACTTTTGAGGATCATTCAACCCTCTTCTTGTTTGACACAGATATTCCTGTAACACAGATCAGTACGTGTTGCCATGCTTACTTACGCACACAGGATGGAAGTTGGCCAGACCAGTTGTGATCCTGTTGACAAATTCTTACAGAAGAGCCAATCAACCGAAAACCAGGACTGCACTGGTAAACAACGGTGTCTCTATATCCATAATTTTCTCCTATTACTTGTCCATTGACTATAAGATCTGGGATACCACAGTGACCAGCTGTATTTATTTATAGTAAAGAAAATGAAAAAAAAAAAAAAGAAGAAAGGAAAATATCAGTAAATATGCCATAGAAATATTAAATAAACCTCCTTAACTTAGACAAAGAAATGCTGAATACCTTTCCAGGTTTTTTATTGACCTAATTCAAAGCTTTATTTTTATTAGCTTGGTGAAAACTGCAGTCATGCATTAATACAGGTATAACTATACACATATAAAAAATTACAAAAAGATGATATAGCAAAGAGGTTAAATGTCATATATATCATCAAATTTCCTTTAAAATTTCCTTTTTATTGTAACACATAAGAAATATGTATAATTTACCTTAGTTTTCTTTTGGCTATTCTTAAATGAATAAAGTAACATTAAATCATCATACATTTAACTAAATAAAAAAATTCCACATAAATAAAAATAATACAAATATTATATCAATCCATGTGGACATTATAGCCTTTGTACAATATTAAAAAAAAAAACTTGAAAAATTTATTGCCGGAATTTGACTTTCTGTAATGTTTAACATTCTTTCTCTCTTTCCCAGTGAAATCCCAAAGTGATTAACATCCTTGGGTAGGAAGCAGTCAGCACAAATGCTGCCAAATCTTCCAGCAACCAAATGGCAACCAAAAATCTTTCTCTGCCTAGGCCTAATCTTTTACTCTGTATTCTCAAAGTATGAGAAATATTGTATTTTCACTGTGAAAGTCGTAAAGAGACATTTGGTCTACAGAGAGGCTGGGACAAAAAGACAAACTATGTGTAATTACTGTTTTTTGTAATGAATTCTGGAAAATGGGCACTGTGATTCAGCAAAAAATGTGCTAATGGGAAAGTCTTCTAAGAACAGTTGACTTCATGAAGACTGTGACATATGGTAGAGAATTCACTGTAAAAAGAAGAGTGAGACAAGCAAAAAAAGAAAACTAGCAGCGTTTCATCTTGTACTTTTTCGAACATAAAATAAAATAAAAAATTAACAGCCACCCAACTCCTCTGCTCTCCTTTTCTATTCTAATTTTCCTCAAATAGCCCCACAAACAAATCTCTAAAGCATGGGATTGCCAATAAGGAAAGACATAGAACTAATATGGTTTGGACTGTTTTTCCCTTTGAAATTTTAAATGCTTCTAATACCCTGATATATTTTTCTGCATTTTTCCTCATTCATTTGGGGCTAGAAGTTTCTTTAAAAAAAAAAAAAAATAGACTTCCACATTTTCTTACAACTTGAGCTTCATATTGTATTTCATTGTATGAATCATGATAAAACAAGAAGAATTTACAGTATTGGTAGTATATGAACCCCCACATATATTAGATTGATAACTGCAATTTGACTTCCATGTAGTTAGCAGGAGTCCAAATCTGTTACTGTTCAAGGCTATATTATCCCTCATTTGTTCCTTCCCTGTTTCCCTCCATCTTATGTAAAAAACAGGCATACATTAAATTATGTTTTCTAGGATAAGATGGTACAACACATTTGAAAAATTTTTGTCTATTTCTTGATCTTCCAAAAAATTCATAATCCATTCAGCATGTAGAAGACTTTTTTGAACATGCTCCAAAGGAATTAATTTCCCTATCCTATCATATTTCTGACTATAAACAGGACTAACCAGATGAGGAATAAAAACTGAGCTTTAAAAGATTAGTTTCTATCAAAAGTGCAACCAGACAATCTGCAGTGATTCAGATCATGCTCAAGGAAATATTTTTCTAGTTGCATTTAATTAAAATATATGGTTTGGTTCTTAATTAAAAATTTAGTGTTGCTTTATGGCAGAGTGGAAGCAGAACACTTCACCAGAAAGGTCAATCTTTGTTTCCTGAGCAGAGAGAATAAAACTGAAGCAATTCAACATGTGAGGTAGCCAAGATCACAGTGCTGTTTCTGAAATTGTGCATGGACATTACAAAACCAATAAAACTTCAACAGGTGAAAATTCCTTACAAATCATCTGTTTTACAGTAATCTCCTACTCTTGCTCTAGAAAATTTAAAGTAATTTAAAAATCCCATCCTCTTACCATACTTTCATTGTCATAAACCTCTCAGAACCTAGTTTTGACTTAGTTCTACTTTTGAATTTATTTTTTTTCTTTCTTTTCTTCTTTTCTTTTAACTTTCTTCAACATCTGCTATATACAAGGAGAGGGGTAGCAGATGTTACTTACCTGAAATTCAGCAAACTATTCAACATCATTCCCCACAGCCTTTTCCTGCACAAAAGGGCAAGATACAGATTGGGCAGGTGGTCTTCAAGATGGGTAGGGTTAACAGGCTGCACTAAAAGGGTGGTGATCAGTGGTTTTCACTCAGGGTGGAGGCCTATCACAACAGGATTCCCTAAGGATCAGTAATGACATTGAATATCTTAAATTATCTGGATGATGGGATTGAAAGCAGCCTCACCGAGTTTGCTGATGACACCAGACTGCTGGTGAGGCAGATATATGAGAAGGAAGAGACATCTTACAGAGGGACCAGGACAGGCTGGAGGAACTGGTGAGAAAGAACTGTATGAGGTTAACAAAAACACCTGCAAGGTTCTGCCCCAGTGATGACAGAACCAAAGAGCCCAGAACAGGCCATGATCTGTGTGGCTGGGGAGCAGTGTCACTGAAAGGCACTGGGGGGTCTTGGTGGACAAGAAGCTGACTGTGAGTCAGCCGTGTGTGGCTGCAGCAGTGAAAGCAAAATGGATCCTGGGCTGCATCTGCAGAAACATTATTAGCAGTGGGAGAGATGTGATCATGCACTCAGTGCTTGCCAAGCTGCACATGAAAGATGCAGAAAGATTCAGACAGACTACAAAGACAGGTCATGAAAATAATCAAAGGACTTTCCTCCTGTGAGGAAAAGCTGAAGGCATTAGTTCCTATTAGTTCCTGTAGAAAAGGCTCAGGCTGGGTTCCAGTACTTGGAGGGTGGCTACAAAAATAATGGAGGCTCTCTCTTCACATGGAGTCACATGGAGAGGACAAAGGACACTGGGTGCAGGCTGCACTGGGACAGGTTTTATCATGACGTAAGAAAGAATTCTTTTAACAGTAAGAACAATTTATTCGGGGATGTGATGGGAATCTACATCACCAGATGTATTCAAAATGTGACTAAACAGGTTTCCAGATAATCCCATCTCATCTCCCTTTGCCATGTAATGTTGGATCAGATGATTTTTCCAATTATTTTCCAACTTGGGATGTTCTATGTTTCTGTTACTTCAAATCCCTCTGTCTTGATTATTTCCTCCCACTCTGTAAAACAGTTATATCTTTGGAGCTCTAACTATATTGCATGACCAATTGTGAAATTCCCACTTCTAGTAATGAAAGATATTTTTAAAACAGTAGAGAATATGTCTATCCTTATGTAAGATTTCTAAACTGAAAAGTAAAACTGAATTTATGAAGAGTATTATAAAGCTGTATTATAAAACCATAGTTCTGTCATAACAATTCTAAATCAATAAGTGACAGCGTTAAGGAAGTAAATATAATTTAAAAACAGGATATACCATTCTTGTTTACCAAAAAAAAAAAAAAAAAAAAAAAAAAAAAAAAAAAAAAAAAAAGAGGGAAAAAACTCCAAAGCCAAAACAATCCAACACCCCAAAATGATGGTTTCAGAATTATTCATTTTCAAATAAAATAATTGAGAACTGTCACGTAGGTGCATGTGGTGAGCAGTTCACTATGTTCGCTATGAAAAGTGTATGTAGTTCCTGTTAACAGTGGAGAACTTTATTGGAATTTCCACTGATTCATGCAGATGAGTAAATTCCTTAAGATCTATAAAAGTCTCTAATGTTTTCCAGAAGTTTTATTCTTTGCTTTATTTTCCCACTATGTTTTACACATCCATAGAGATGTTCTCTGCCACAGGAAATAAAGACCTCAACTTATAGCAGTTGTTATAGAAGTAATGCTATCATTACTTTTCCAATACTAAGAGGGAAAAAAAAAAAGCAGAGAGGAAGAAAAAACAACAACGAGAAAACAACACCTCTCAAACCAACAAAAACTTCTATCACTATTAACATCTGTATTTGGAAGAGCAATTATTACCTAATTTCTCTTCAATTCTATTCTGGGTTTGTTGCATTTCTTTTAAAAGTGTTTTTTTTTTATTTTTCTCATGAATTTTAGTAGAATTCTTACCTTTAACATTTTTTTTATTAAGCTATCAAAGAAAATAATTCCAAGATGTTCATTATAGATTAGGGATATTATAATATTTATTGCTGTATATTCTGGTATTTGGTAATTGTTTCTCAGGACTTCCATTTAAACTCTTATTATAAGGGCTCTGTAACAAATATATTCTAATATATCCTAAAATCCTTCACACTAACTTAGGATTCTAGACTACTTTAGGCTAAGCTATTTGAGACTGTTTTTATGACATCTTTGTCCATTGTCAATATCCCTGTTTTTGTTCTGTACTTTAAGATCAGTTGTAGTTGCATTTTTTTATTACATGGATGTAAAAGACTTTTGTAGCAGTTCTATGAATCCAGATGAGACCCATGGGTCTTAATGTAACCTGTAACTTGTAACACTGAATCAAAAGATACCACTTCTGCAAAGACAAGTGAAAATTACAGAAAAAAGTATTAAAAGAGACTAAATGTGAAGGTTTTACTGAATAGCAGATTTGAGAGGAGAAATAAGAACTGTAACATTCTCAATTTCCAGTCTAGCAAAACTTGAGAAGAATAATTGCATGAAGTATTATTCAAAAACAAAATTAGTCAAAGACTGAGAATGAAGGATATTAATAACCTGTGAGCACCAAATAAATTACCTAATTTGACATGAAATCCTGTTCTAGCAATGAAGAATGAGCATAATAACTTAGTGTCAGAACCTTTGAAACCATAGCTGTAAATGAGATTTCTTTTCTGCAGGTTGTTCTATGAGATGAAAAGAACAGGAATAAATGAATACAGAATCTTTACATTAAATGGCAAAAAACACGCCTATGCT